GTCCTGCCATCATGAACAATGCTGCCCAGACACAGGAGACCTCTGAGCACTTGCTCAAGCCCTAGGACCTGAATGGCTCCAGGCTCTAACCATTTACAGTGACATCAAGAGTTTCTAACTTATGTAAATCAAGCTATCTGATCTGAAAAAGAGGAGGGAGAATTGGGCCTGAGGTGGAGCTTCTTCCATTAAAGTAGAATATGCACCTGAGGCCTGAGGAAGCCAGCAATGAAGACCAAGTCCCCTTCTCTGGTGGGGCCTGGGGGTTAGCCTGGTGCCTTTTGGTCCCATGGCTAGTGGCCGGACAGAGCCTAGGAGGAACTTGTAGAGCACAAGCCTGTGTTGACAGCCTAGGATCAGGTGCCTTGTGACTTCCTGGAGGAGGGGGTAAGGAAAGTCTAGGCTGAATTGGAATCACTATATTTGATCTGGGGAAACATAGCAGTCACATTATATGTGGCTATGGTCTGAATGTGTGCCTGCAAAATTCATATGTTGAAACCTAATGCCTGATGTGATGGTTATTTGGAGGTGAGACTTTAGGAGGTGATTAGGTCATGAGCCCTCATGAATGGGATCGGTAGGGCCCTCACAGAGTGTTTGCTCAAGGCTCCCATTTGACATATGGGGAAAGGGAAGCATCTTACACAGGACTATCAAGTGAATTAGCTATTCAGGCCTGGGGCTTTTGTGCTACTTCAAGCTGCTTCCAACACCAAAGCCCAATTGGGAGAGATCAAATGTCCCAAAGCTACTAGAAGGGTCAGTTCCATGAGGACAAGAACAGTGGCTTATCATCTGTATTTGCCTCTGGTCTTGGTTACCAATATTTGAAGTAGCAGTCTCTTGACTATCCCCATGGCCTGCTGGACCTGACACATAATAGACACTCAACAAACGTTTTGACTATCAGTTCCTTCTCTACCTTCTTCATGAACCCCATTCTCCTCCTCTGCAAACCCCTTACAAGGAGAGGTTCTCCAGGGCTCCAACTTCAGAGCACTCTTCTTTCTTACTCTGCACCAATCCCCCCCAACCACACACCCTTCAACTGCTAACTCTCTCCTAGATCAGATCTCTATCACCAGCCCAGACCACTCCAGTGAGTTTGAAGCTGTATTTCCAACTGTCTACAGAGTATTTCCACCTGGAGTTCAAATGGGTGCCTCAACCCCAATCTGTCTAAAGGTGGGTGGATATCTGCCATGCTCCAGAAAGAATTAGAAAGCTGGCATGACTGAGAGCGGGGGAAACCAGGAGTGGGGTGGGGGAGGAGAGAGATCAAGTAAGGCCTTGTAATTGTTGAAGGACTTTGACTTTTACTCTGAAATGTGTAACTATTATAGAGTTTTGAGCAGAAACATGGCATCATCAGACTCAGGTTACACAAGTTGGAAAGCCAGGAGTCATCTGATTCTTGCTTTTTTTCCCCCCTACCATTTCTAATCAATTACCAAACTCAATCTTCCTGGTCTTTATTTCTTATATCTACCCCTGCTGTCATCTCTACCATTACGGTGACAATTCAGGACCTAATCATCTCTAGCTTAATCTCTTGGAATAATTCCTAACTGGCCTCCCTGCCTCTCCCCTTTCCAGTTCACTCTCCCCATTGACCACCAGAGTGACTGATCTAAAATTCCAACCTCCCTTGCTCAAAACTCTTCAATGACTCCTCAGCTAGGATCTCAATAAGGCACACATGAGGTTTCTTGATTAGTCCCTGGCTATCGCCCCTACATAGTCCACCAGTTAAACTGCTTCTGGTCCCACCTCTCTCTCCTGCCCTAAGAACACACACGCATATACTCACACTCACTCTACTGAGACTAACCTCTCTGAGCCTTTGCTCAAACAAGCCCTGCCACTTGGAATACCCCTACCAACCTGTTTTTTTCCCGGAAAATTCTTTCTGTAGGTACTCCATGGTTCCTTTCCTTTCTGTCCCAACTGAGGCTAGGATAAGTGCTCTTCCCGCTGTTTCCATTTCTGTTAGGGACACTCATCCATTTTATATTGTAATTGGCCATTAACTTGACTGGTGCCACACTACATTGTGAACTCTTCAAGGACAGAGACTGTATCATTTCTTTCTGTGTCCTAAGTTCCTAAATCGAGGACTGGCATATCATGCAAACTCTTAATGTTTGGTTAATACTGAATGGTCTTGTCATCCAGGGACTCAGTACATACCTTGTCACGAGGGGATGGCAGGAGGTGTGCTTTGGTGTGGGTACGGTTTCTGTCAGAGCTAGAGATGGCGGAAGGGATAGGGGAGGGCTGAGAACTCTGAATTTGAGGGTCAGAACAGAATACAATAGGACTAACATGGTTTAAAAATCTCCCTGCCCTGCTGGGATGTTGTCAAACCCTTGCCCTCTCCCCTACGGGCTCCTCATCTTTTTCCCAGGACAAAGGGCATCTCCCTTGAAGCCTCACTTACCGGGTGTCGGTGCCTCGAGTCTTGGTGAAGAATACTGAAAGTAGAGGCCCCAAGAAATGACTATCCCCATAGCCAGAAAGAGATGTGGCTATGGAGGAAGGGGCTGATTCCTGGCCAGCAGTGAGGAGTGGGCACTGGGTTAGTGGGTGGGGGGCACTCACAGTCCAGTTTTGAGATGGGGGAGATGGGCACAGACAGCTGGAAAGGTCAGCCGTGGTTGGGAGGGAGTCAGGGACTGGAACTAGAGAGATGGAAGGGTCTCTGAACACGGCAGCCCTGGAGTGGGGGGTTACCATGTTTGGATATCTGAGTCCCTCGGTCTTGTGTCTGTTTTTCCTTAGTGGGCACAGGGTTCATGTGGTAGCCAGCGATAAACAAGGCCTCATTAGTGAGTTCTGTGCTGATCCGGGTCAAGAATTCCTCAGAACGGGATAATGAAGCCTTCTGGGAAAGGAAAAGTCAGAGGAGTTCAGCCCGGGAGTACCTACATGGGAGTCCTGGGTCTGGGGGCTCCCAGGCCAGGGGCTCTGGATCTAAGGAGTCTGGTATTGAAGGGCTGGACCTTGAGATTTGGCCTAGAAGGCCCTGTAAGGAGAGGGCGGGGGGGCTCAGGGTTGAGTCTAGAATCTCAACGCAGGAGGTCTCAGAGTCCTCGGCCTAGGAGCTCTCACACCCCCAGAACCTCTCTGCAGTTCTGCAGTCTCAGAACCCCTCCGATGCTCACCGAACCTCCACCGAAGGATGTTGCGGCTTGGGACAGCCGGCTGCTCTTTTTCTCGTCATTCCTTGTAGTAGGGCATTCCATCTCCCTAGGGACAGTTGAAGCCTTCGTTAGGTTGAAAACCAGCCTATTTCCCTCAAACCCATCCCAACACCATTCCGGGGACCCAGATTTAAACGGGGCCTTTACATAAACCATCCTGCTGTCTCACAAAAATCATTGCCTTAAGTCTTCCTGGGGGAAGCAGTGGGGTGGGACGTCCCACAACAGTCCCTACCCCCGCTTCGCTCAGGGGGCCTCTCTTTTCTTCTTCCCACCCAAGGCCCTTCCCAAGACAAGGCAGCCAATTAGCCGCCCCCGACCTGGCAGATGGGTTGAAATCTTGGGCTACTCGGCAGGAGAGGAAACGGGGAGGTCTAAGGAGTCCCTATTATAGGTCGCAGGACACGGGGAGTTGGAGTTGGGGAGGAAGGTAGGAAAGAGGGGGACCAGGGGCTGCGCCGCTACCCGTTGCTATAAACCTTTGGTGACAGTAGAGGTTCCACAGCCCCGTTTCCAGGACATTAGGGATTCTAGAACCAAAGGCTTGAAGTGGGGGAGGGAAGCATTTTCTCAACAAGTCTCACTCGTTCCTCCGTCCTCGTCCTCCACTCACCTCCAGGTCCCTGGTTGGGGGCGGTGACTCCAAAGACGGAGGCTGCAGAAACTTGGGAGGACCCCGTAGGGTGGAGCCTGGGATCTAATTCTCCTACCACTAGGGGCACGCAAGGAGCAACTACACCCTAGGCCGCCCTTCAGCCTCTCTAGCCGTCAGTTCGTAGCCTGGAGCCTGCGAGAGCCAATTAGGCCCGAGAGAGAGGGGGCGGGGAAGGAAAAATGTGGACTGTACTAAATAACCTTGCCTCGCCGGGAGGGAGGAATCTTTTCTTATCTTTGTTTCCAGGAAGTCACACCTTCCGCAAAAAGGAAAGTAGAGATATTCATCTAGGCTTCCTTCTCCTTTGACCTCTCCTCTTCTGCTCCTTCCTTTGCTTGGCGTTGATTCTTCTTTGCCTCTTTTCTCCCTCTGTGCTTTGGTACGGGCCAATGGAAGGGGGCGGAGGGAGGAAAAGGAAAAGGAAGCGGGCAGGTTTTAAAGGGGCCGCAGCCATTTTTTTTAAGCCTCTTTTTCCTTCCTCAAATTTCGCAAGCGCGAGCGCAGAAGAGTAGGTTCCCGGAAGCCCAGCACAGCTGCAGCAGCAGGGGCCGCAGCTGGAGGCTGCAGTGCCTGAGGGGCGGGCAAAGGCGAGGATCTGCCCATAGGAAGGACGGGGCGTCTTCGCCCCCCGCGCCCCGCGCACATCTGGGGCGGCCCATGCTCCGGCCTTCAGCGAGCTTTAACATCTGGGGCCAGAAGGGAGCAGCCGGGTCCTGCGCGCAGTTGGCGCGGCAGATGCGCCGGGCCGGAAGGTGAGGCCGTGCGGCGGGGCTGGGACAGAGCTGGCACCTCCGGATCGGGCCCTGGGTGGCAAGGGGGCCGCCGCGATGCCAAGCGAAAATATCTTCCTGTTTGTGCCTAACCTCATCGGTGAGTGCTGCCTGCGGCTCCGGGCCAAACGGGAGGGCAAGGGGCCTTGGGCAGGCTCCCTGATCCCGCCTTGTGTCCCCTGTCTCATCCCAAGGTTATGCCCGGATTGTCTTCGCCATCATTTCTTTCTACTTCATGCCCTGCTGCCCCCTCACGGCCTCCTCCTTCTACCTGCTCAGCGGACTTCTGGACGCTTTCGATGGACACGCCGCTAGAGTGCTTAATCAAGGTGACAGACATCTTCCTACCAGTCTTGAGACACAAAACCCGCTGCCCGCTTTTCCTGCCTCCTCAAGACTTCAGGGCAGGTGTACTCGGGAATTACAGGGCTCCATCATTACCATCTCTACAAAGTAGAAAGAGTGGCCTGGTTTTGTAGTAGAAGGGAATTAAGCTAGCTGTTAAGAAGAACCCCACTGATAGGAGTGTGTAATAGCAAGACTGGACATGGCAGTGCTGGAGGTCTCTCTGAATTAATATCCATTCATCTCGTGTTTACTGGATGTCTACTGTGTGCCAAGCACAGCAATCTTGATTCTAGAAGGCATGTGTAGTGGAGGTTGGAGAGAGAAAAGAGTTGGCTTCTGGAGGTTTGAATCTGTATTCTAGACACACTCCAAGACTTCCTGTAAGATTTCAGGTCTCCTTGTTTTGAGACCTAGACCCTTGGTTCTGGGGTTGATGAGTTGTAAACTAGCTTTCTGACCCGTCTTCCACTATCTCTCCACACTCCCATGCCTTCTCATTTCATGACACAGTGACCTTTGCCCATTGACCTCACACTCCATGCAAAGCAGCCTGTTTTCCGTCCCAGGCAGCAGATGGTGGACATTTTCCAGCTTGTAGACTCTGCATCAGAGTGGTACACCAAATATGGCCCCTGTCCTAGGTCCGCTGCCCCCTAACAGCCCCTTCCCAACTAATAGTCCCCATTTTTCAGGGACCCGATTTGGGGCCATGCTGGACATGCTGACAGACCGCTGCTCCACCATGTGTCTGCTGGTCAACCTGGCCCTGCTGTACCCTCGCGCCACCCTTCTATTCCAACTCAGCATGAGCTTGGATGTGGCCAGCCACTGGCTGCACCTCCACAGGTCTGTGATTCTGGGGGTGTTAACCAGCTGAAGAAGACACTACAGTGGGGTGGGGCGAGACTGTATGGAAGGGTACCTGGGATAGCTCTGGCTTTTTGGGAGGTCTCCTTTTTGGCTCTGCTTTGTTGAAGGACCCTAGGCAAATCCTCTTTGAATCAGCCTCAGTCCTGTTTACAGTTGGATTAAGCAATACGTAAAACTCTTGTGACTGGATCTTCGGGGATTCCAAATAAATAACAGCTCTCAGGAAGGGGCATGGGGGCTTTTGAATGTGGCATTTGAGTCCTGACTAGGTAATTGTGTGGCTTTGGGCAAGAGTGTAGTTCTCAGCCGGACCCCTGTTTTTCATCTGTGCAATAGAGGCAACCCCAGTACCTACCTAGTGAGGGTTGCTATAAGGATTAGATAGTGTCAGTGGTAAAGAACACTCATGGATTCCCCTGCTTTCTCCCCAAGTTCTGTGGTCCGAGGCAGTGAAAGTCACAAGATGATTGACCTGTCTGGAAATCCAGTGCTTCGCATCTACTACACCTCCAGGGTGAGCATTTCCTGCCCCTCCCTTATTTACTCAGCTTGTGCCAAGTCCTGGGCTGTGCCCTTTTCTGGGGTTGGGAGAGGGCGCAAGCACAATGGAAGGGCAGCCATCTTGGGAGGAGAGGCCTATGAGCTGAGATATGAAGGAGGGTTGGATTAGTTGGGAGGGCCCGTGTGAATTGCTCTAGGCAGCAAAGTGGGCAGGGGCCCAGGTATACTTAGGGAGGAGGGGAGAGAAGCCAGGTATGCCCATGAGGAATATGGACTTTATTCTGAGAGGAGAGGCAGCCTCTGAAAGGATTTTTAAAGAGACAACTAATATGCTGAGATCGCTCTTTCCCACCACCACGTCGCCCTTATTTCCCCAGCATCTTTCCTCCCAGCTACTCATCCTGTCCCTTAGTGGTAGGGGGGAATCACACTTCCCCTCCCCCTTGTTTAAGCAGCCTTATTGTTGTTTGTGCAGGCTGCCTTGTTTACCCTGTGTGCTGGAAACGAGCTCTTCTACTGCCTCCTCTACCTATTCAGTTTCTCCGAGGGACCTTTAGGTAGGAGATGAGGGGCGGGGCTGGAGGATGGGAGGGGGTATTGGCCTGCCCAGGGAGATGAAGGCTGTGGACGCATGGGCCCCCTCCCCGACTTGCACCCCATTTTCTCAGTATCACCCTTGCTCTCTTCCTACAGTTGGCTCTGTGGGTCTTTTCCGAATGGGCCTCTGGATCACAGCTCCTATCTCCTTGCTCAAGTCCCTCATCAGTGTCATCCACCTGATCACAGCTGCCCGAAATATGGCTGCCCTGGATGCGGCAGACCGTGCCAAGAAGAAGTGACTCTAGAACCTCCAGCCCCTGGCTACCCACCTGCCCTGGGAGTCTCACTGTGCTATGTGGCTCCCCTCTCCCTCCTAGGAGGTCCAGGCTCACATCTGGGTCACTGGGAAGGGGGTCAGTCTCTGATGATGTCGTATTCTTCATAATCCTGAAGGCCAGTCCCTCCCCTGTGATCCCCAAGGACCTGGACTCCCAAGTCAGGAAGGCTGCTCAGGAGGCCCCACCCACATGGGCGGTGCTTCCGGGGCACCTAGAGGCCTGTCTGAAGACTGGCCATTGTCATACCTGCTGGCCTGGCCCTGGGGTCTGGCTTGGCCTGAGACTTTACGGACACTTGAGTGAGGGGGATGGGGTAGGGGCCAGGTTTCCCAAAAAGCAGAGTCAGACTTCTGCCCCCAGCCAGAGGAAGGCTGCAGGTACTGTGGCCAGGAGAGAAGGAGCCATCTAGATCTCTTCCTGTTGTGGTGTCCTCTATCTGATCTATCCTAGCTCTGAAAGCCTCAATAATAAAGATGGGGGCTTCACTGTCCTGGACTTCATTTTCTTCGAAATACTCTTGGACTGGGGCCTGGGTTGAGGGGAACTTGGGGGAGAAGGAAGATCCATCTGGCTGTTTTTTCTTTAGTGTTTACTGGCTGACTCCTTCCTGTCATTCCACAGTGACCTCAGAGCCCTCGCTGCCATCCAAGCTCATACCATGTCTCTTGTCCACCTGCTTGCTTTCTTTTACGACAGTCACTAGCTGTCTACATTTATTTGTATACCTAATATTATCTATCCCCACTAGAATATAAACTCCACAAGGGCACTGACTTCTTGTTCCTTCTCTATCCCTTCCTACAATGAAGATTATCCTAACCTGGCATATCATAGCTGCTTAATATTCACAAATAGATCAGTTGGTTTCTCAGGGTGCAGTCCTTAGACCACCCGTGGGATATATCTTAAAAATTCAGTTTCTTGGACCCTGCCCCAGACTTTCATAGTTGGAATCTGTAGGAGTGGGGCTAGAAGTCTGCAACTTTATTTATTTTAATAAACTCCAGGTGATATAGTCTTCCTGAGAATGTCGAGAATCAGTTTCTTAAATATTTGGGGGGTGCCTACCATATAGTAGACATTGTCCTGGGCATCTGTCCCTAACAGCTACCCCTACCATCTGAGCTTTCTCTGCTGGCTGGCACTGGCTTTTTAAGAACTATATTGAACCTACCATATGCCAGATCCTGTGCTGGGGCTTCTTTGCAGATGTGACTAGTTTTATCCTTATAATAGCTTAGCCAAGAGGCCCTCATGACCATGAGAGCTGAAATTCAGCAGATGTGTGTTAAGCCTCAACTCCCTAGCTAGGTCTAGGATTGGTGGGAACAGGCCAGCTAGGAAGAGATAATGCAGTTAGGGAGGTGCTTGTTGGGGGATGGGAGTAAGAAGTGCTGAAGCACTTAGGTGCTGGTGAAGCGGGTGGGCATCTAACAGGAAGTTGATAGGGGTTGGGTGGGAAGGGTTAATGCAGAGGCGAGGGCTGATTTTCAGCTGAGGGAAGGGAGGCAAGAGAGCACCCTGGACAGTTGGGGAAATGGAAACATGAGATTCGTGGGGCTGAAACAAGCGCTAGGGTTTGGGGGTGGCGAGCTCTTGAGAGATTGGGGGAAGCCATCGGGCAGCCTGAGGAGCCCAGTAGGACATTTGGACTTTATCTTGAGGGCCACATGGAGCCATTGAAGGAAACTTTTGAAATAATAGGTAAAATATTCACATGATAAAAAATTAAACTGTACACATTACAAAAGGTTGATGAAGTCTCCTGCCACCTCAGGCTCTCACTTCTTCCCAGAGGTGACCACTGCTACTCATTGCTTACATAAATTGTCTAAATTCTTCACGTCTACATGTATATACGTATATCTTCTCATGTTTTAAAATTCATATATATGTGCTGTTCTGCTATCATGCTACCACTGTTCCAAGCTCTTTTTGTGTATGTTACCTCATTTTGCCGGACACGCTATACTGTGTACGAAATGGAACAAGCCTGTGACTGCCCATTTTCCAGAAAGGAAACAGGTCCTGAGGGGAAGGAGGCCAATCTGGCTGGCTTGGCTCCAGAGCCCGCACCCTTAACATTTACCATACGAGGCGGTCCACATAAGTTGTCTTCTTAATGGTGACATGTCTTCTTAATGGTGACATAGAATTCCATTATTTATTTGTTTAACCAGGTCCTGCCATCATGAACAATGCTGCAGTAAATCACCTGGACTCTCCTGGGGGACACTTGTAGGATGAA